ATGCCATTATGCAGGCGTCATCGTAAAATGAAACCGGAATCAATCTATTTTAATCGAAGAATTATCCCTTTTATTAATATCGTGGATTGTAAACTGTCCCAATGGAGAAGTGAAGACTTTGAGGGCGTTAGAAGGGTTCGAAAATCTGGCAACGTCATAAAACATTTTACCCCCGATAATCTAATTTAATATGTAATTAATCTAAAGTACGCCATGCGCCAGCCCAAGTGAGCATTATCATCGTGTCCTTCGTTTACGTTTTCCGCGTATTTCGTATTTCGTCTGCAATAATGACAGACAAGTCGCGGTGTTTGATGTAACATAAAAAATCTAATTCATCTTGCGGCATAAAAATGCGATTCAAGAGCTTTCTGATGATGGAATTATTAAAATTATATCTGACAAGTGTAGGCAAAAAATCTGTTTATGAACCGAACTGAAGTTTCCTCTCACTTCCTTATTATGTCACTTTGAAAACATCTTCCAGATGCTATTCTGTTGCTTTTTTATTGTACGATCAGTATATGATGAAATACAGCCTTTATCGGATATTTAATCTTTTCTTCGATATTTTTTCCACACTCGAAATCGTTGTGCGCACAGCACTTGTCCAACAAACGCTTCGGCGGATTTTCGAGAGTCGCGTTTCCAGTTATTCCGGTTGACGTTGGCGCCTCCGCCACTGCCAACGCCACCAACACTTCTCTTGCTGCTGCTCGTTATGATTTTCTTCGGCTTCCAAAAAGCTCCAAGAATAAATAGTACGCAGAACCGCGCACAACGCACAATGCTCGCAGAAGTACGTACAAAAAACACCGTCTGCGATCCAAAGTATTCACAGTTAACAGAAAAAACTTTGTGCCAAAAAACACTTAACGCGCTACGAAGTTTTAAGAAAGCACGTCCTGTTTATTATTTCCTGATTTTTGTATTTCTTGTTTTCAGTTGGTTGTCTTCTGTTTTTATGTATTTTTATTTGGAAAAATGCAATCTCATCGTTTTCTTAGCAATACGAATCATTTATTGCTTACGTACGCAGAAATATGTTTTCATATTATACAGAATACATTTTGATATAAATATTAGATAAAATCAAAATATTCGGCGTAGGAGACGAAAATTAGGCCGAAAATTTGAACATTCCTTCAGATCATTCGTTTCCCTAAGACTAAGAATTGCTTTGAGACTTCGGCTGTCTGCACGTACGGATTTTAACGGCTGCTAGCGAGATGTTAAATGGTGGGAATCGAAGCGTCATTTTAATTTCGGGCCGCGAGACTAATTCGCACCCGTTGACGCCATTCCCTGTCGCATCGGCACATTTAAAACACTTTTATGCTCGCTTGCTCGCCGAGATGTTTTATTAAATCTATGGCTACGCTATGCCAAAGCCACGGGGTACCTATATACATCTACGTGTACACGAGCTGACACATTTTCTTGATGTACCTATTTTATCTCTCGACGCTTGTTGAACACGTTCTAAATTAAATTAAGTTAGACAGTTTGTTCAAGAATCAAGAAGCAAGAAGCTGCCGCCCAAGCGGCCGAGACCAAGTAAAATGACACAGCGGCAACCACGTCGGCGTCGAACTTGTACGAACACGCGGGCGGAAAATGCGAAAGAAGTGTCAGAGACTGTCGGAAGATACATGCAGACTTGTTCAAAGTCGCGCGCGCGTACGAACTTTTCCGAGGTTACTCCTGAGATGATGCTCACTCCAGACTTGCGAGTTGGAACGTAAAAACATCGCGTCACATGAAGCAGGTTGCCAAATTGGAGTTTGCCACTTCAGGCAATTATCTCGCATGCAGAAGATCGCTCGATTCGTGATTAAATTACGAAAGAAGCCGTGGAATTGATAAAAAATTAAAAAAAGTTAAAGTTTCTCGTCTGGTGTGAATTTGTTATGATAACCCGTCGTTGAAAACACACATGCAAGTCAAGTACATATTGATTTTCGCATTTCGGTTCGAGGATGGATTACGAATGACTCAATATCGTCGAAGGGCGTCTCGCGCTCCGCTAGATGAAGGTAATGCGTCTTAGGGTATTTGCGTATTTCGGGATGCTGGCGGGGCCCGAAATGCATTTCAATCTCTGAATACGGTCGCCGCGAGCGACGAGCATAATCTGAAATCCTTTAGAAGCGCTTTTCAAAAACTAGCAGCGCACCACCATCCCCATCAGCCAATTAATTTAAGATCATGTATACGTAAGCGTATTGAACGTGTAAAGCAATCGGCGTCATTCGTCTACGCCTGTTTAATTCAATTACGAACATTACTCAAAACGCGTATAAATAAAATTCCCTTCCAGCACCGCTGAAAAGACGTTTTTTGCGTGTTTTTTCAACAGGAATAACAATTTTTTACACCAACGGATTTGAATTTTGTTTGCTGGCGCGGCGTGTCACTAGAGCTATAGCAAAACTTGGCTTGAAAGTCAACTAGAGGCAGGCGGTCGTAAAAACATAGCAAATATTCGCATACTCTGCACATCAGCTCGTAATATTTTTATGTTTATTTCGGGATTTCAAAATTGCTTGCACGTTACTGTTACCAACATTCGGGAAAATCCGCGTGTACCTTGACACTTTCATTTATATGTGACTAAACTAAAACCTATGGCCACCAAGTTTTCGAACAAATGAAAACAGTAGGCAACTTATTTTGCATTTTCGGTTGCCATGTCATTCAATACGTTTGTTGACCAAACGTGAAAAAACATAAAAACCATTCAATATCACAAAAACTGGCGTATCAAATTTTTTATTTTGTGATTTTTACTTGTTGAATAATGTTTTTATACGCATTGAACAATCGACTTGACTTTCTCGAATAAAAACCAATATGCATAGCAGCTACATATATAATTGTTATTTCAGTATATTATTTTTCTGAATATCGGTTGCGGCTAATGAAATTTTGTGTTGTGCACTCACATCTCTGAGCAGCTGTGTATGCGTGCGGTGGGTGATAAAATAGCAAAAAGGGAATTTATCCCGTCATGCACGAGTAACTTGCTTCCGTGCGCGTAGTATTTACATTTTTGCATATCACCACACGTGCGGAACGCACTTAGCGCACGCAGTACCCTCGCAACAAGCCTGAAATAATTAGTATGGAAAAGCCTAGCGGCGATTCACGACGAGATCAATAGAGAGACTGACTCTACACACTCGCCGCCAATCCGCCAGCAGCGGCATGTGTAGCTGACGTAGACTCTGATGCGACAAGCGACCGGCGACGGACAAGCGTCTAGCGAAACAAGACAAGACTAGAGGACGTCACGTAGATGTAGAAACGGTGAAAAGTGTGAAGCGGTTTTGGAAGTGAAGAGCGTGGCGCGGCACCAAAGGGCAACCCCTGGCAGTCGGGGTGCGGGGGTGGTTGGAAACTGCGGAAACTTTAGAAATAGGGACAATGGAAGAACATTGCAAACCGTTTACAACCGATAGCGTCGCTACCGCACTGCGCGACAAAACTCATCGGTTTCGCATTTGCTCATCGCGTTTACCCTCTTGAGACCGAACGATCTTATTGGGACATCTTTTATATAATTTATAATTTCAGATATACACTGCATAAATTATCACCTCATATTTCAAAAACAAGATTTTAACGCATTTTATAAGCTTCAAAAAGTTTTATGTTGTTTAAGTAGCTAATATATTAAATAAAAACCGAAATAAATAAGTTGAAAATGAAGACAATGAAGAGAACGATGAAATAATGAAACAAAAACAATAGTGACGTGTATAAACTGTACAATATTGTACACTTCAACGTTTTGTCCTCTCGCTCAGGCGAGTCAGTTGCGTGCTGTGAAGAAGCGTGTCTGCAAAACGGATAAGAAGCGCTGTCGAAAACTTTCGGCCGCCCTCACGATGAACTTTTGTACGGCACTTTCGTCGAAATACGAATATGCACAGGAAGCAGCTTCTGCGCGCGACCGGCAACGACGTTTATCTAAATTTCGCGCTCGCGCAATGTCAATCACAGGAAATGAAGGAAATACGCTTGAATTAATTAAGCGCGACGCGTTATTTTATTAAATGTTTAATTATTCGCGCACGCGTTTAATTTGCTACAGTTCCATTGAACAAAAAACTAATTAATACATGACGTATGCGAATTTGTTGCAATGTACAGTCCATCGACAGGCCGGAAATGTAATATTCGACATTGTGAGAAATCGATTCGCTGCGAATTTAATATCAGTCATCTATATTTAAATAATAGACGGAATGTCATTGTAATATGGTCAATTTTAATTAATATTGCGCTAATAAATGATTGAAATGAATAATATAATTTTCAAATTCAATTCTAATTAAAATGCGAATATCTAATTAAATTATACAGATAGCGAATTAAAATCAAGATTAAATTAAGATTGAATTTGCAAAAAATTACAAATGTCGTAAACAAACAAAAACGAATAACAGCAGTTTGAGCAGTCATTTCGAAAATGTTTGATTCTTTTAATTTCGTGCGCGTTCCGCCTTCGGTAATACCATTCCAGTGTGTCGTTTGTCTTTTTCCCGCATTCGCGCCGCCGCCAAGTCGTCGATGGCAAACCGAAAGGACAATTTAGACTTTGGATTAGTTTCGAGCACGCCTAAGCATTACGTCCGGACGCGCGCGACTCCCGAGCGTGGGCCAAACGTGTATTTCGGCAAACAAAACGAACTCGCAATCGTTTGTTTTATTTAATTAAACGAATCAACAACACAAACAGGGGCCAGCACAGTGTGCACGCACGCACGACTCGCTCGTTTCCCATCGACTGGTGCGATGATAGCCGGAAAGCAGCATCGTGGCGAGCTCCAGAGCGATAAAGGAATAAAAAGAATTTATGTCTATAGACTACAAACATTAATTTTGTTTATTCTTTTAGCGTGTGCGAAATTGTTTCGCAGATTGTGTAGGCGTAGATACATGTGATAATGTGATATTAGGCTAGATGTACGTAATGAAATGGTACCATTACACACCTGAATGTGTCCCATAGGTGAGACATAACAAAAAAATCCAGAACGCCATCGTGCGCCTCATCGGAAACGATGTAATCTCTCGCGTTTTGCTCGACTCCACAGTGTCGCAAGGAAATCGACAGCTTCCGGATCACATTTTACGCCGGCGAGATCGAACCGAAACTTATTATTAACGCGTTACCAAAATCAGCATACGACGCAGACACTTGTTTAACAAATTGCGGTTTAATGTCAACAGGCCATGGTGATAAATTGTGATTTCACACTTTTTTATTCGTTCAATTCATCGGACATCTCAATAATTATTATTTAATTTCATTCATATATATCATCGGACGCTCACAGAAAAAATATCTTTCCGCACTTTAAATTTTATTACACACCTGAGCCGTGTTTTATTGCGTTATGCTTCTTTTTTTATTATTTATTCACGTAATTAAATATTCAAACGTATTTTTTGAATATACAGAGTTACGCTCGACGCGTTTTGAGCAAGTGCAGCAATCACACACACCACCCACATGCAAGTTGAGCGCGCGCGCGATTATTTAAAATGCATTTTCTTGAGAGGAAAACGCGAGCAGCGACAACACGGCGCACACACACCGGAGTGGCAGGCAGGCGGGTGGACTCTCAGGCGCACAGCAGCGAACAAACGAGCGGAACGCAGCAGGAGCTGCCGGCCGACGAGCGAAAATACGCGGAGGGTTGCCGCACGCTCACTGCTGACAGCGCCACCCTGCAAAATAGTGGAGACCCGAGGAAGCGCGATCGAGGGAGGCGGCGTATGCGCACCACGCCAAATCTATACTACTTCACCCACAAGTGTGCCTGCTCTACCCGGCGCTGGTCTAACCTTCATGTGCTGTCCGCTAAATCTTCACGCACATATTTAGCAAATACGTTTTCTCAAATATTCAATAATTTATGCGGACAAGTTTATTTCATTATCTGCCTGCTTAAATATTTAGAAAGTTTTATTCTGTTTTGACGGGTTGACACGCCTTTTGTGGGTTAATTATAATTTCTATTCAATGAGCAAGTCTAGTCTATATCCTGTTTTCGTAAACATTCAGAAAAGTGAACCTACATCAACAAAAACTCAATAAAGTAACAAAAAAACAACTATTTGATATCATAAGTGGTCAATTTTCATTAACGTGGCGCAAATTGAATAAGAACATGAAAATTCAAGTTTAAACATATATGATCTTCATTTGGTTCGATGTGTGAGAACGGAAACAGTGTTGGCGCGCATTCGAAAGAAGACGGAAGCAAAATTCCGGCGGAATATCACAATGCAAGCGAGCAAAGAGTGTTTAATGTGGTAGTTGGTAGTAAGTCCGGTCGGGTTCAGTTCGCGCCCAGCGGAGTGTCCCTTTTGGAGTCCCCGGTGACTATTTACATAGATCTCCGGCATTGCCAGCATCGTCGACGCGTTATCGTAAAAGAGAATTGAGCATTTCTTGATTGTGTGAGGCGGACGCCTTGATTTTCCGGATGGGATGCGTTATGCGGCGCCGGATTCGAGTATTTTTCGTTTGTTTTATGCCGAAAACTGTTTGCAAACGTGAAATTTTTGTAATAAAATGTCAACAATATTATGCAGTCGAGTTGATAATTACAATTGTCATAATTGAAGCATAATCCACTTCAATTCTAATTGCACTTCTGGTCCATCAGAGTAAATAATTGTTTTTTGCGTTTTAAAAGCGCACAAAAGAGTAAAATATTTGTCGACATGTCATTGCAATTCAACTTAATATTGAAAAATATAAATGCGCAATTTGATGACGTTTGTTTTCCGAGTTCCAGTTGTGACGCACGCAGCAGCAATTCAACAAATAAAACAACAGAACCAAAAAAAAATAGAAAATAAAATCTCGACTAGTGTGCAAAAAAATGTTTTCCAGCCACTTTATTTCACTTCACTTAATGGTTTTCATGCGTAACACATCATGTTGTGATATTATTCTATGAAAGCAATGCAACACAACTTCTACATTAGTTATTTTATAGCTTGAATAAAACTAAAGGAATTTTTATGCTTGCGGGAAGTTATTTAATTGCTGGCGCTCAATTTTTATTGCGCTTTGTGCGCTGCTTTAATGCATATTTTCAATTATTCGCCGTACATTGATCGAAAGGGAAATTATAGGTACGCATCAGCATCGAGGATGGACCAGATGTGGCATGTTCCTCGTTTATTGGGCGGGCTGTTTGTGTCCGGCATTAAGTTTTAATGAACATTTGATTGCCGGAAATAATACGGCTGGTTTCAATTACTATTTGATGTTGGTATACACGTTTTCCACCAAGTTCACAATTTTTCTCCACTTGTAAAAATAATTAAATCAAATTTTAACTCAAGTGGAGTATAAATCTAGGTAATAAATCTTAATTTCGGTTCGACTGGATGCAAAGCATGTTAAATCAAATCAAAATCGATCGAAACTGTCAAACTAATATCAGATTACTAGTGCATGCATATGGTCCCTGCACTTCTAAGAAGAGAACCGCCCGAAAAGTGGAACTAGAAGTTAGCACAAGCTGTGTGGGAAGTTGGGCGCCGAGCACGATCGGGCATTACGATGATGCACGTCGTGTCGCTCTCTATAAAGCACACGCCACCCTTAGGTGGCAGCGGACGCAGGCGGTGCGGCAACTGGTAGCATCGGATACAAGAACAAAGAACAAACAACAAACAAACAAGTGCGCGTAACAATCGAGTTTCGAGCGGCTTACAATAGAAGTGCAAGTGTGCACAATGTATTAGCATCCCATTGCAGCAAGCTTTGTTGTATGTACTTTATGTATTGGCTTGCAGAATGTGAAACCGCCGGAAACAGAAAGATGTGTGCTGTGTGTGGGTGCAGGAGGTGTACGAGACACCATCGGTCGATAGCAGAATCTCAACCAGTTGCTTAAATTAAAGATTCGCAGCGAGTCGTTTCTCATCTCGATGGAAAACTGGAATATTTACGCGAATATGCATGCAACGAAAGCGCTGCACGGCGCGTCGGATGCATTTAAGTGTGGTGTTTGACTTTTCATTCCGATTAAACTCTGATTAAATTATAGTAAATCTATCCATGCATCAGATATTGACACGCGCAGAAAAGATAATAACATATTTAATAACTAAAAGATGAAGAACGCTCTTTTACTTTACGTTTACTTCACTTCACGTTACGCGAGCATTATTCTTCTTAATACGATACTCTTTCTTCCTCTCGTCGAATGTGAAGAATTTTGCGCGTCTTTGTTTATTTACCCCCCTCTGGAACGTATAAAGAAACGTTCACAATTTTCATGTAACGTTATAAAAAGGAAAACTCGCCCACACATACCGCGCGCACGTCTTCTTCTTGTGCACATGTAGCGTACTTGTGCGCTCGCGGGCCGCCGAAAATTGTGTTGTGGTCGGAAGTTTTCCAATAACACGAGTGGAGTTATTTGTTATCCCGTGCGGCATCGGGCATGGCGAAGAAAATGCGGTTGTACATAAAAAGCTGTATATCAACACATGCCTTCCTAATACCGAGTTATTGTGAGATATTTATGAACACATCAAACAAGAAGAATGTCTACACACGTTTTGCAATATGCGAACGAACTTCACTGCACTCAGTCACGTCTACTACTCCTAGTACATCTTAAGATAAGAACAAATTTTAAAAACTTCACATTTAGTTCATATTTTTATTAACAACTGGTATTTCTTGCCGCAAAAAATATTTACGTATTCTCTAAACGGATATTGAAATGGAAATTGCTATTCTGTATTTAAGCTCTGATCGTGTATTCTGTTTTCATACATAAGACACCCCCCGAAAAATAAAGATTAGTCAATTCGGTCAAAGTCGTTTTACACAAATGTTACAATTGTCATCGAGTTTCAATTGCAATTACCGCACCAAGCACTCATTTCCGATGCGAGGGGGAAACCACTTTTTATTCTCGCCTTCCGCACGCCGTCGCTATCTTATTATATTCGTAGTCACGTCGCCGCGCCGGGAAATCTATGAAAAATTACGTGATAAATTTTCATCGATGTTTTATTCATATTATTTTCCTGCGAATCAATTTCGTTCATTAGATGCCATTAGATAATGACGTGGGAATGCAATAATGCTTAAATAGAGCGTCCGACGAATTGATGTGGATGAAATAAAATACGAAAAGAAATGAGGTGCGAGCATAAAACCTGCAGATCGCTTTATTTTTGTCTTTAATATTCCATCATAAAACTGTATTACTAATGTTTCAATTATTTTTATTTCGATTCAATCCGTGATTTTGCCAGATAAAAATAGTGGTCAATTAATATTTTAAATAAACTGCACGCTTAAATAATAAAAAATTGAATTTTTATGTAAACAAATCAGTGCAATGACAGCCAATGAAATGGAAAAAATGATTTCAATTCAATTAATTTCTATTCAAATAAAAGTTATTTGTGCCGCAATAATTTTTGAAAAAAGCGCTGTCGTTTTATTTTTGAGCGCAGCGTTTATCTGACGGCAGTTTCCGTTTAAATATACATAGTGTCGTGTGATGAGCTCGCAGATAAATAAAAAGTAGGCAATAAAGTCGCGCCCCTGAACCCTTGTACCGGCCGATGTAAGTGACTCCTCCTGCGCTGTGTACGCAATATATAAAAATGCTACGCGAAGAAAGTTATAAAGGGGAAGACAAATGATTTGGGTGTTTTTTATGTTATGGCTACGTGCCGGCACCTCCACCAATGCTGGCGCGCGTCATCGGACTCAAATTTAACACACACCCGCCGCTCACAAGAGAACCCTTTCTCCATATAGTTTACTGTTTTTTGAACTAACAAAAACAGTTTTGCATGTTCGAGAGGGTCAAAAGTTATTCTGTCTGCTCTCGAGTTTTAACGGTCATTTACCACTCACAATATTAGTATCGTAGACACAATAATAAACCAACACAAATCTGCATTTAGTATGTTTTTTTTTCTGCCTATATTATAAGTGATGTTAATGATTAATGAAACAATGAAGTGAAATTCGTCGGAAAGTTCAATTTATAACGGATACCATATGTTAACTTGATGCTTTCCACATTTGTGTGAAATTCTTGTTTTCGGATCAGTACGTTTTGCACGATTTGAACGAAACACGACCTCCGGTAACGGTCAACAACAGAATCATACAAATACCTTTGATCTTCATATGCGAACGTATACTTTTTGCTGAAAAAAAAAAATCAATGACTTTTATTTGTGCGTCAAACGTTTGGTGTTCAACCAACAAACCGGCGGGCCAGCGATATTTAGTTATTCGTGTTATTCGTAACAGCAAGGAGCAATCACCTGAAAATATAATACCTTGTTTTGCCAACACCCGAAAACATACCGAACAAAAATATAAAACAGTACAAAAGCAGGTCAAAAATATTATTGCTTCATGAAACACCTCTGGGGAGTAAATTAAATGTATTTCGGTAATGCTGAATTCTCAAATTAGTAAGAAAAGTGTCACTTTTGAGGACAATCATACTAAAACTCTCATTTTTAACCGAATTGCCCGCAAAATACAATGGCAATTGTCGTAGACGGTAGTATTTATTTTATCCTTCATTTTATTATCTTCGCCTACTTTGTTCTTATCGTCCTGATTCTCGTTTGTAACGCTCTCTTGTGAATTAATTTAACAAAGTACCAAGTGCGA